CACACACACACACACACACACACACACACACTCTGCAGCCTTCTGTGGCTGTGAAAGAATGATCCCTCCATTTGTTTGACCCTGTTTCTTCCACCTACGTTTGATTTTACAGTTATATTTTAATACTTTTCCCGTCAACTCAGGCTGAAAACTCTCGGTCTCTAAATGCTTTTCCCACTTTCGTTCATAGTGTTTTGCAGGAATCTCAAACTCGGGTCTTCTTCGGGTCGCTGCCCTGCAGGTTTGAGATGTTTCTCTGCCTAAAAAACAACCATTTAAATCCAATAGATCTATTCAAAAGATCAGACTGTCAATTATTTTATTTTTATCAGGTGTGTTGAAGCAGGAAAACTCCTAAAACCTGTTCGGCAGAAACCCTCCAGAGCCTGAGTTTGACAATAAACTACAAATACACACGTGTTGAAGCCTGACCAGCAATTATTTCTCTCCAAACTTGTGAGCGCCGGGGGGCAAAGTTTGTGTTCCCAACCACAATTACAGATGTGGAGGCTGATATTACAGAAGAATGTCCCACAGCTGTGCTCCCTCACATACCTGAGGATCCACAGCTCAAAAACATCTGCAACAATAAACCACAGGCTTTAAAAAACAGGAATCCCCAAACTTCACCTCCTCATGTGTCCGTCCTAAAGAACATACCATCACACACTCCGGAGGATGTCAGACATTCTTTCAATCAAGGCTAAACTATAGTTTTTAATCACAATATTTTTACAGTTAAGGGTCAAATTTGACTCAGAAATAATTTTAAATGAAACAACACAAGTCATTTTTGTCATTTTCTGGGAGAAGATTAAAGGAATTCAACAGAATTCAATGAATAACTGATTGTTTGCATGTTTGTGTTAATGGTTTTGGTTAATCAATATCAGTTTTGTCAAAATGATAAAGTAAAAAATAGGAGACAAAAACATTATCACGCAGAAAAATATTTTATCTTTAAATAAAGACTCAATCTTGGGATTACTCCTTCTGATATTCTACTAAATAAAGCACAAGTCTTGGAAAAGGCATCAAACTCCACTCTTATTTGTCAGGTTTAGTCCAAGAGAGGAAATTACCACATGAAGAATTATTTTTAACCTGGTTAAATGGACACACTGACCTTTGTGAGAGGAGAGGAAGAAGCCGGAGAGGAGTGGAGCAACAACAGAAGGAGCCCAGAGATCTCAAACATCTGCAGAAAAATCACCAAGAAGTCAGAATTCAAGTCAGAATCCTCCCCTTTGTCGTCACTATTCTCAGATCTAATGAACCGACCTTAAACGGTTTGGAGCAGAAGAACCAGAACAGCCTTCAGATCCTCAGAGTTGGTCTCATTACAGACATCGGATCAGTGGAACGAAGGGTTCAAATCCAGAGAGTGACCAGAGGAGCTGTAGGCAGCATCTGAGAGGAAGAGGAGGAGGAAGAGGAGGGGAGGGGGCTGCCAGCTGTCCAGAGTTACCACACCCCATTTTATTTCCTCACACACACACACACACAAACACACACACACACACACACATCCAGCTGGCGTGTTCAGACGGACAGATGCAGTCACACATGGTCTGGTGATGAGAAAGTGTGGCTCTACACATTACACATGTTAGATTTAACATGTTTTTGTATTTGCATTTCCATGGTTCTGTATTAGAAAGAAGTGGCCACAAATAAAGTTAGAATTTTACTAAGTACTGTGGAACCAGATAATCATAAGAAGATTTTAAACTAATGTGCAAATAAATAGATAGATAAATAAATGAATAAATAAATGAATAAATAAATAAATAAATAAATAAATAAATAAATAAATAAATAAATAAATAAATAAATAAATAAATAAATGAATGAATGAATGAATGAATGAATAAATAAATATAGAACTAATCGAACCTGTAGTTTTTTAAAATAAGAAATCAAAATAATCATTGTTTGCAACAATTGCTTGTCTGTCAACATCAATGTATTTAAACACCTGGATCGTAGGTAACACTAGTAAGTTAAAGTTAATCAAAGTTTTCTATACATGATGTAAATGTTTTTATAAGTAATAAAGAAAAAGCATCAGAAAGAGAAGCGTTCATTAATAATCAATAATAAATATGATAAAAAGCTTTGACGTTCAAACTCTCACGTGCTGTAGTACCTAATAGTGACCGGCAGAGGGCAGAGCAGTAAAACAAAAACAAATTTTTAAGTACGAACAGAAAACGAGACTTGATCCAAAGACAAAAACAAATCATGTTTCCATCAGAAAGGAGCTGGAACAGTATGAGGATTTCCAGCGTTTCCACTTGTTTTGTAAAAAAAAAAAGTTCCACTAAATTACAAAAGCTCTAATTCCTTATGTCAGACATCCTAAATCACAAGTCTATATTATAAGATTTAATACTGATATGAACTGAATCAACATGGAAAGTAAAATTGATTGATTACTGCCCTGAAACAATCTGCTAAATATCTTTAAGTTTTTAGTAACCGTGGTTACATGCTAGGAAATAAACTTATAGTGATGGATGTCCATCACAAGTCTAATCAAGTTTCACTGGATATACTTTAGAAAGAGGAGCTGCTTGTTTCAGTAGAAAACAGAAAACAGAAAAACCCAGAAACACATAAAAAAAAAACAGAAAACCGACTTCATAATAGAAACTAAAGAAACCCCAAAACTAAATCCCCAAACTCTGCCCAGAAGTGACCTCAAAACAGGAACTAACAATCAATGTGAGAGTATCTTTTCCATGTAGGACAAATGTTAAAATCCAAGTAGAATATTCAATAAAACTGTCTGATGTGTACTTTTTAAGATGAAATCCAGATTTACATATACGAGGTTAAGACTGTAAGGACTCTTTCTGTTTATGAGCTGATCTCTACAACATTTAGTTTAAAATTAAACTAGAAACATCAACTAAAACTTGTATGATTAAGATGGGTGTTTTGTACACTACCTTTTAAATTTCTATAAAAATCGGGTTATTTTTCTGGTTTGCATCTTCTCAAATCAAACAGATAATTTCTTAAAAATCCCCTCAGTGTATTTAAAAACGTCCTTTTCTTTTTTAGCTCTGATGCAGATAACCCCGCCCGCCCGGTGTGCGCCGCAACACCGATGGAGCGCCTCCTGTAAATAGCTCC